TTGGGGCTTGCACAAGCGGAGGAATTATTCGGGGGGACCGGCCCATTCGGAGCTGAAAGCCAGAGAAGCCCGTCGACGCGTTCACCGTATTCATCATGTCGAAGCGGACGCGCGGCAGGGCGCGTACCCAGCCCTTCTGATTCCGAGTGACGTGGAAACGCACGGCTTGATTCACGGTTTTGTTGGTCCTCTCGCTCGCGCCGTCCGTTTCCGGGTGATATGCCGTCGACATCTTGAGCTTCACCCCCGTTAGTTTGTGAAGCGCCTTCCAAAAGTCCGAGATAAATAGCTTGTCCCTGTCGGACACGATGTCCTGGGGGAGTCCGTTCTCGCAGTACCAGCGGTCGAAGAACAGTAGTGCCAGCTCGGGTGCGGTGATGTCGGTACGCGTAGGCACCAGTTGGATATCAGAACCGAGTCGGCAGGTAAACGTTACAATGCAATTGAAGCCGGAGTCGACGGGCAGCGGGCCAATGAAATCAATCGCCACAGAGTCGCCACGTTGGTCTGGGATCGGCAGTGGGTGAAGCGGTCCAGCTCGGCGGGTCGTTCGCGACTTGTTTCGCTGACAGTCGGGGCACCCCGGGATATAAGCCTCCTCCAGATCTTTGCGCATGTTCGGCCAGTAGTACGCGTCGCGTAAGGACTTGTACGACTTGTCGAAGCCGAAGTGTCCGAGCGCGTCGTGGGCCAGGTGGAACATCGTTTCGCGAAGATTCTTGACTCTAGGAATTATCAGTCTGTCCCCAACGTACCACAGACCTTCAGGTTGTCGCAGTTCCAGCCCTGGAAGGCCTTTGCTGACAGACGAGAGTTTTGCGCACCACTTGTCGGTGGCGTAGCCGGTGCGTATCGTGTCTAAGATTTTTGCGTCCGCCGTGATAGACAGGACGGAGGCGATCGGAAGAATTGCTTCCGCTGTCTTGATCCGCGTCCGCGCCAGGCACTGTGCACTAAAGAAAGGTGTCGCGGTGCGGGTTTTCAGTACGGCTGCAATCGCCGGTGTGCCCGTGTCGTCCATCCCCCAGGGTTCTGACGCAGTGTCTTCTGCGGAGTCGGCGTCGTCGAATTCGGTACGTGACAACGCGTCTGCAACCGTGTTGTCGTCGCCCTTCACGTAGATTATCTTGTAGTCATATTGTGACAAGAACTCCATCCAACGAGCTTGTCGCCTCGAAAGGTCTTTCTGCACATCGAAACTCTCGAGGGTCCTGTGGTCGGTGAACACCGTAAACTCGTTTCCCATCAAGTCGACGCGCCAGCGTCGCAGGGCGCGGATGATGGCGAGAAGTTCCTTCTCGTGAATGGGGTAATTTAATTCTGCTCCTTTGAAACTCATGGAATCGAAAGCGACTGGTCGTGCCGTCTCCCATGTCTCACCGTAAGACAGTACCGCGCCAGATCGTTTGTCACTCGCGTCCGCGGTGACGTAGATGTTATTTTTGCCGCGGTTGTCGTGGTCTATCGTGGTCAGGCAGTCCCGACTCACGACGATTTGTTTAATGCCTTGGAAGGCTTCCTCATGCACTTCGTCCCAGGCCGGGAAGGTTTTGTCACACTCCTTCGTGGTGAGTGTTTCCAGTGTCGACGTGTGTTTCGCTAATTTGGGCAGGAAACGGCTTATATATCTCACTAGGCCCAAATATGCTCTGACGTTAGTCGCCGACTTGGGTTGTGGCCAATGTAGGATGCGTTCTACTTTCTTTGCATCTGCTTCAATTCCGCGGGCTGAAATGTGATGCCCCAGGAAATCTATTTCGTATTGGAAAAGTTTCGTCTTTTTCTGGTTGCAGTATAGGCCTGCGCCTCTCAACGCGTCGAACACTAAACGTACGTGTTTGTCGTGTTCTTCTACGCTTCTCGACCAGATTATAATGTCATCCAAATAGATATGGCAGATCCTGCCTATTAGTTCCCTCAGCGCTGCAGTGACGCGTCGTTGTTGAACAGACGGTGCGTTTCTCAGCCCTTGGGGCATCACGAGCCATTCGTACAGTCCAAGCGGGGTGCTGACCGCTGTGTATTTTACAGATTCGGGGTGCATACGTGTCTGGAAAAAACTATCGGTGAAATCGATAGTTGACCATATCCCCCCCTTCCCACAGTCGGCCAGTATGTCCTCGATCCGTGGTAAGGGGAAAGCGTCACGGACTGTTTCCGCGTTAAGCGGCCGGAAATCATTTACCCAGCGTGGCAGCACTGTTTTATCCGCCTTGGGAATGAGAAACGCCGGAGAAGCGTGCGGCGACGTGGACGGCCGAATGCGCCCCGCGTCGAGATGGTTTTGTATTAGCGTCTGCCACGCCTCTCTATATTTACGAGGACTACGGTATGATCTGGTTTCAATGTTATGATTCGCATTCTTGACCTTGATTTCACACAGGACGTCGGTCGGTAATAGATCTGCATGGGGCATGGGCTCGAAAAGCATCGGATAGTCTTCCCGAATTTTGTCGCCCCTCCTCTTCAAGTCCTCCCAGTGAGCGAGCACTTCCACGCGTGCGCGTACGGCGGCGACCACGTCCACTGGAGCCACTGTCTCAAACAGGTTCTTGGCCTCCATGTCGAGTCGTCTCGCGTCGCACACGGCTTTGAGCTCCACCGCCAAGGTCTTGCGGTCTTTCTTCGTGCGTCTCACCTTTTCGCGCAGTCTCTCAGGTTTTGGAGTAGCAATCTTAGGCGGAGGCGGGTTCATTAAATCGTAGTTCGTTCGTTTATCGATTACGGTGCGCGTAGAATGATCAATCACAATTTGATTCTTCTCGAGCCAAGGTAGGCCGAGGATAATGGGCATACACAAATTAGGCGCCACAAGTGCGCGTACTGCAGTAGAAGACCAAGTTTGGTCGCGGGACAATACTTTAAGCTTAACGTACTCTGTTAGATACGTAGTGGAATCGTCTTTCACGTCGGAGAATGCAAGCGATACTGGTTCAGGTTTGCGCAATTTGAATCTTCGGAGTCCTAGCTTTTCCGCGAGTAACGCGTCGATCAAGACTAGGAAGGAACCGTTATCAATCAGTGCGCGAATTTGTAGCGGAAGATTCGACATTGGGCCTTCAATTAAGCAATCCCAGAGGAGGTGCTCCGCGCGATGTGCTCGAGATGGGATTGTACTCACCATGGAGCTGTCGTCCTCGTCGTCACTGTCTTCATCGTCCTCCACGGCGGGCATGACGACGGCGACCGCTTTGCCCTTCGAGGCTTTGCGTGCGGCGGCGGCGGCTTCAGCGGTGAGTGTTTTGTAGGTCGCGGGGTCGGGGAAACCATTGGTGCATTTACCCGCCTTGTGGCCTGCGTAGAATTGACGGCACTTGTTACATCCGTCGTGCTCATTGAGGAGCTCGCGTTCTTCGGCCGTAAGCGGTGCACAGAACGTTTTCGCGTCGGTGCCCGTCGATGCGGAGGATGTTGGCTTCGAGGACGTGGACGCGGGAGCGGAGCCCTTATTGGTTTTCTTGGACGCGCGCTCAGTATCGTCCGTGTTCGTACCCGCTTTGCGTTTGGCTAGGATTCGTGCGATACGTGCGTCGTCATAGATGCGGCGTTCGTCGATATCCGTCACCACGCGGAGCCACTCGTCGAAGTTGTCCTCCCCGATCTGGGACGCGGTCGGATGGTCGGAATAAAGATGGGTGAGGTCGGGAACCATCCCCGCCTCGAGTGTGTGACGGATGCGTTTCTCGTCAAGCGCGACGGTCGATGCAGCAGGGTCGTCGGCAAGGAGAGCGGCGAGGGACATAACGGCGGTCGCCCATTCGTCGAAAGACTCCGTTTCCTTCATGCGGCTAGAGAGAATCTCCTTTCGGGTCGACTCCTTCCAGTCTGCGCGCAAGAATTTCTTCTTGAATTCGGACATGAACTCGGGGAAGGTAAGCTTGCGAAGGCGTTCGCGAGTCACGGTAGGGCGGGTCCAGTTATTTATTTTTATCTCCTCGAAACATCCGAGCGCGATGCTGACCTGCCTCTCGGCTGCGGTATCTTTGTGTGCGAAGTAGTTGGAGAGCGCGTCCTGGAATTCACTGCAAGCGAGAGCCGTGACCTCGCCCTTATGGAAGGTGGGTAGGTGTCCGGGCTTGCGGGTGACGGTAGCATATTTGGACGTGCTCGACATGACGTTTATGGATGAGGGCGAGGGTGAGTCTGAGTCGTAGTTGGACGAGGAGTCGGATGAATGCGATCTGCGCGTAGCGGGTGGTGGAGAAGAAAGAGGCGGCGTCGTCGGCGTCAGTGGTGACGTCTTTTCGGACTCCCGGTCGGTCGACTCGTCTAAGTCCTCCAGTGTCTTGGCCGCTCTGCGGGTGACAAGAGGGATGGGAACAGACGGTGCTCGTCGCGAAGACAGTTTGGTGCGGTATATCGATGGTGGCGGTGCACCTAAGAAACGCGTCGTTTGTGAGCCAGATGGTCTCGCTGAGTAGGAAATCGTCGCTGGAGGGTCGACGAGGGTAGCGGCGCCCGACTAGGGGTCGCTCGCGTGTACGGAAGTAGATTCACAATCAGAGATGGAAGATCTCTGATTGTGGATCGCGGAGGCAAATCGTATAACGGTGGATTTGTCAAAAAAGTGGAAGCTCACCAATGGGGGTGAGCTACACTCAGAAGAAATCGAACCAACAGACAAATAGACCGTTGTATAACGTCCAGAAGATGAGAGCTAAGCAAGCGGGAGTATCGTACGAGGGAGTAAAGGATAAGAGTAAAGCGTGATGTGATGTAACGCGTGATGTAAGTATATCAGGTGAGTAAACGCGTCCCGGGTTTACATATTGGTTCTATAACAGAGACTAAACTGGACCTTCCCAGCACTAACCAGTACAAAATAAAAACCTTAGAAAGTGGAGATTATGTCAGCCATCACAGATCTATCCCAAACAGGGAAATATCACTATTTGCTCAATATCTAGCCGGAATTTACTCTTTTCCCTTTGGTTTTTTTTGGCATCATCTCAGACTGTCGACCTCTCCATCTTGGGCTCCTCTAGCTACCTCTCCTGCATGCCCACTTGGCCAAGCGGTAAGGCGTGTCACTCGTACAGGTCACGTGACCTCCACTTGGCTATGACAAGATCAGCTGTTCGAATCAGCTAGTGGGCAACCTTTTTTGTAGTGGGCAACCTTTTTTGCTGCTTGCAGCTCTTCCTGCACTAATTTAATTTCTTATCCCGCCGTTTTGACTGTGTTCCGACGATGAAGCGGCCTCCTTCTATCATCCTGTTTTTTTGGTTCTTGGTTTTTTGGGCCCTCAGGTACATACTGTTTCCAGCGGCTCAGAAGTTTTATTGGTGTCTTAATTCGTGACCCCCTGAAAACACCCCGAGCCCTGGTATTTGCTAAGCCCGCCCCGCTCCACCAAAGGATTGCCTGGAGGATTCGAGATTTCAGCCACAAAACTGAACTTTACTTCTCAAAAACCCCGATTTCGTACCAGAGTCTTGCCAAGTTGCCATCAAATACACTACTTAGGTGCGACGTACTGAGGTGCGCGTGTGGTCCATCATGAGAAAGATTCAGTTCGTGCATTGCGCTATGTCATACCACACATCGGCCCTTCCCTCTTGGGAAGACAAGAAGCACAACCAGATACGGGTGCCAAAATCATGGATGGAAGCAGCGATACTGTAGACAGAGACCAAAAAGATAGCAGACTTTGTCTGTTGAGCGAAAGAGGGCACGGCGTCGAAGCAGCCGCGGTCAACCTGCAGCTCATGGGCCCCGATACGGGGTCCGGTAACTTCGAAGATCTTGCCGAGATCTCGAAACTTGTGGAGATAAAGCCCACGAGGTGCACGCATCCGCGACATACTTTTCCGTGTTTTGTTGCCATGATATTGCGATGCAAAGGGATGGGCGCGATTGACTGATCGTCGGTCACTCCAGAGTCCAGCAACTGTTCAAGCCACAGTGAGACGAACAAGACAGGCGAAACCCAAGTAAAGCGCCGGAGGTCTTCAGGCTTTCAGGTCCAGTGCAAAGAAACCGAATACATACTGAACGCTGAAGCGTTGAAGATTTGTGAAGGCAGTCGACGTCGATCATCGTCATGACAGTTTCAGTCGACGTAACGGCATGGCTGTTCTACTCGCATCAAAATTCCATGCTGCCCGTACAATATTCACGCTGTTGCCACCTCTCTGGCACCACTATAAGTACCCGAAGATGCTATGGTTCTCTATTCGGTTCCCGGAGTTCTTGATTCCACAATGGTTTTCGCTGCCGCCGTTGTTCTGTCTCTTGTCTGCGCCTCCACCGTGACGGCTGAATTCAATGTGGTACGACATGTATCCCAAGCCCCCCGCTCTCTGGAGCCCGCCGTTATCCCTGCGGCCCAGTTTGTTGTCCCCATTACTTCGACAGCACCCCGGCGACGATCTAAAAAGTCCAATTTGGCATCCCTGCGAGCGACCACATCGCTCAACAACAACACCGCTATCTTGGAGGGCGCTGACCTCGATCAAGAGTACCTCACCAACGTCACCATCGGCGGGCAGACGTTCACGGCGATAATTGATACCGGAAGGCATGTTATTCTTGAAAATTTACTTCTCGTCGCTCTAATGCGCAACCATCGCAGCTCCGATACCTGGTTAATAAAGAAGGGCTTCAATTGCTTCAACCTTACCGGTTTCCCGGAGTCCACCGCGACCTGTGGCTTTGGCAGTGACGGTTTCAGCACTAGTGCGAGTCCTACATTCAAGAGTTTCCCCAAAGTCAGCTTCAACATTTCGTACGTCCCTTAAAGAGCTGGCTCAGCTGCACCGTAATAACTCTTTACTATAGCTACGGAGATGGGGAATTTTTGTCGGGTCCAGTCGGCTTTGACACGGTTTCAGTTGGCGGCCTTTCGGTCACCCAGCAAGAGATCGGCACACCTGATCTTGCGGCATGGGAAGGCGATGGTGTCAACTCTGGCCTCATCGGCCTCGCATTTTCCGGTTTGACCTCCGTCTTCAACACCACGGATCCCACCAAGGCGTCAAACGCGAACCACATTCCATACGACCCCTTCTTCTTCACCGCGGTCAAGCAAGGCGCGGTTACCAATCCATGTCAGTTTCTCGTTGCCCTCTTTTTCGTATCGTGTTCTAATCAATATCTTTGCAGTCTTCTCCCTCGCGCTTAACCGCGGTGCACTCACGGTGAATACTACCTCGGACCCCAACCTGGGCTTCCTTGCCTTTGGCGGCATGCCTCCCGTCAACCTCGACAAAACCGCCGTGACCGTCCCCATCCAGGGCTACTCCGCCAGCACAGGCGACCCTTCCACCAAAGACGCCGTCTTCTTCTACTACACAGTCGACGTCGCAGGCTACACCTTCCCCGGCAGCACCAAAGTGACCACCAAGAACAACAACACGATTGTCGACTCTGGTACGACGCTCAACTACCTCCCCACCAAGGTTGCGAAGGCGTACAATGCGCAGTTTGTGCCCAAGGCGAAGCTCGATAAGGCCTCGGGGCTGTACTTTGTCGAGTGCGATGCGAAAGTCCCGGCATTCTCTGTCACCCTCGGCGAGAAGAGCTTCCCCATCGATGCGCGCGACCAGATCCTCGAAAATGGCACGGACGACGACGGCAATGTCGTCTGCATCTCGGGTACCCAGGATGGAGGCGAGGACACTCCCGACACTGTGTTCATTCTGTACGTTGTGCTCTAGCTGATTTATCGTCTGATACTGAGACATTTTTTTAGTGGGGATGTCTTCCTGCATAACGTTGTCTCGACGTTCAATATTAAGACTGATGAACTGACTGTTACGAGGAGGAAAAAATACTAGACCCTCTAGATGTATGTATTGTATTATAGATAATGGGTTTGGGGCTCTGACTCCGCTCGCCAGCTGGAGGCTGGAACAGCATCAGCGCGCCATCCAGATTGGTCAAGTCGGCGGCGATTCGAATCGCGGCCACGACGTCGAAACGGAAATTGAATCGGACTTTCCCAGTCCCTTCCCTGCGCAGAAGTACAGCGGATGATTAGGGCATAATATGAAACTTGCATCGACCAGGCTACTTACTATAGTGCACATCAGAGAGGAATTCAAAGAATTATTGTAACCGACTATGAAGTATCGACTCTTGGATGTACACTGTGCAGGTGCAGGTACCTAGCAGCCTTCGCGGTCCGTTAAAAAAACAACGATCCCGGCGAGTTCGGCGCACTCCATTCCATGAGATGCAACGTTCTTTTCTCTTCCCCTACCTGGACGTGCTGTACCAATGTGTCGACCATCACAAATCCGTTCTTCAGCAAGACCTTAAGACTACCGTGATTGCCCACGAAAGCTGACGACCGGATGCGCCTGGTGTTCATCCACGGGATGCCGAACTGCGTTATGATTGTCTTCACTGCAGCGGTCATCAAACCACGGCCATTGTGGCTCGGGGCTAGATAATCTGAGGACATCGTTGAATATCATCATCTATTTTTTTAATAGAACAGAAACATACAACCGATATGCCACGCGATTTCAGGGTCCCCTGCAGGGCGTGCATCGTTCTCTGCGATGAAGCGCGCGCGCTCGTCCGCATCGAGGACCTCGCTCCAGCTGGACCGCACGAGCCCCACGTCGCCGACGAAAATGCTGGTCCCGTCGGCCTGCTCTTCACGAATGTGACGCACAGGGCATCCGCTCACAGGGCCGTGCTGCGGCCCGTGCAACTTGGTGGTGTTGCGCAGCTCCTCAACCGCCGCGTCGGTCTGCGCCTTGACTTTCGTGAGCCAGGCTTCGGCTTTGTCGACGCCATACGGAGTGCTGCGCCCCATCCACTTGAACACGAAAGGGTCGTTCATGATTTCGACACTCGGCGCGACATCGCTCATCCGCGGCGGGGTGATTATGAAGTCCGAGAATGGAGTTGGGAGACGCAGGAATGGCTCGCCCGTCGTGGTGTTGTATTCGAGCCAGGCCATGCTGCGAGGTGGGTTGGATTCCGAAGACTGCCACAGACAGTTTTATTCAAGTTGGGCAGTGGATTCCGGTCTCAAACGTCCGCAGGCATCTTGAATTGAGATAGAGCAAGATCTCGCACGGTGGTATGTTTCTGCCGCTAGCGCTATTCAGAGTCATCCAATGATAAAAATCTTGATTCTTGGTGCGCCGCAAACCAACCACCAAATTCTCAAGTGGGATGGGTCAGTATCGCCAGTATTCTCGTAGGGTTGTTTCCCGTCTGAGTGTCGCTGACCACTCCTTGCTTTAAATGAGTCTTGACTGCTGCTCTGAGGAGTCTATAAAAGTTCCATGGATGTGAGCGCAAGACGTGGATGTGGATTGAGAAAGCAACATACGATCGGCGGCAACCGGACCGACATCCGCAATCACCCTTCCTCTTGCGCACTCACTGCAGGTCACTGCTCTCTTGACGCGTCGCCAAGCGGACGACACAATACTTGCCTCGCTGGCGCCGAAGAACAAAGGCCACAAAGACTGCCTTATGCGCTCAAAAGTACTAGCGCAGTGATTACTGCACGCGAACCGCATCCGACAGTCGACTGTATTATTATTACCGCACACCATGAGCGACGCGCAACGCGCATTCTGACTCTGAGCGCATTCTTCTCTTAACGGACGGATCTTGTGTCGCTGCTCGATATCGCACTCTCTAGCTCGGCCGTCGAGCCTCAGTCCTCAAGTTAACGGTCTTTAATCGCAATCTCTTGGACAGCGCTCCTTGGACATATATATATCTCCGTCTTGTCCGCTAAACAACCATCGCGCAGGCCTTGTTCTTGTCCCTCGATTCGGTGCCAATTTTCTTGTTCTGTTGTCCGTTTCATCTCGCTGGCTGAGTTACCTTGTACTGCCAGTGTACGAGACTGTACGCGGGTCCTGTGGCCCCACCTGGATCCATATTTAAAAGACTTTCAACCATGGAGCGCATTCTCATTTTCAGACGGCCTTCTCTGCACATTAACAACATGTCAGACAATCCAAACGAGTCGCGTGGTAGATCCCCACCAAAGTTTCTAGATCGCGTTCGCAAAGGGGTCCGTCGACAACATGACCTCCCACAACTCCCCCAATCGAAACCCCTCGATGCTACTCGAGCGGACTCACAGGACCATTCTATCAATCCCCAGGGCAGCGTTCCAG